GCAGGAGAAGAGCCCACTGCTAACAGCACTCCCATGACACCACCCCCACCCCAAGTCTCTCAGCAAAGAGGTCTGTTCTTGACTCCTCGGTAAAGTTTAGGTGGTTTCTTTTGCTGTCGCTGCTAGAAAGATGTCGAGCCCGTCTGCTGGGCTGAGATACCTGCCCGGACGGTCTCGTAGGGCTGGGTAGTTGCCCCTGGAATGCCCGTCCGCTTCTCTTTCGCTGTGAGCTCACACCCTTCCTGGGGAGGAGTGGCTTCCCTGCAGCTCTGCAAGGAGGCTCAGGATCGAGCATCCACTTGACAAGAATGAAGAACACGCTACTTTATTATTTATTTATTTATTTCATGCATGCACACACTGGAGAGAGAGGTGGCGGGAGGGGAGAGAGAGGGAGAGAGAGGGAGAACGACTCACCCTGGGTGCTCTCCCCTTGCCCAGCCTGCCAGCTCCCGGGAGTTCCGGGCACCTGGGAGTCTGCCCACGTGTTTTCAGCTGGAGCCGGGATCGGGCCCGCACGATCACAGGCCTTCCAGCCTTGCTGACACCCGAGCCCGTGCTGTGCCAGGATGACTGGGCCCCCATTTCCAAGGCAGAGTCTGCTCCTCGTTCTCTTTGGAAGCTCCCTAATCTCCACTGGCGTGTGCTCGGAACAGATCATGAAATGCAGTCAGTCTGAGTAAATAACTCATTACCCGACATCGGAGGGCCCTTTAAAACACACGGAGTGGCTGACTGTTGTTAAATGTCCTCAGTCTTATAATCAATGAGGCAAAGCTGGCCCTCACCCACCCACACCCAGGCGGGTAGAAGGATCCTCTGCGGAGCTGGTAATGGTGGGAGGCTGTCTGGGGTGTCTGCTGCAGCAGTGGCACTTTAGCCACAGCAGGGAAGGCTTTAGCAGCTTCGGCTCCTCAGAGGGTAACGCCAGTTTCTCTTTTATCGTAGGTTTCGGAAGGCGATGTGTGCCATGTTCAAGTGTCAGACTCACCAAGCAATGTCCGTGACGAGTGTCCTACCAATGGCGAGCTCTCCACGCCCGTTGGCTCCTGCGAGGGTCTGAAAGAGCAGAGAAGCGCGTGCTCTTGGACACCTGCTCTGCCGCGCAGTGCTTTGTCTTCGCTCTCAGTACGAGCCCGCTTAGTCTAACGCCACACGAGGAAGTGGCGCCGGGGCTCTCGGTCTGCGCTGGCTGCCGGTGCCTCTCCTCCCTCCACGGCGGCTCTCGGCTCATCTCCCGCCCCGGCCCTCTTCCTCCGCTGGGCAGCCATTGCTGTGCCAGGCCCTGAGCTTGCCTGGCCCTCTGCTAGACCAGAAGTGGCCGCTGACGCCGTGTGGGGCACGGTAACAGTGACAGTATCCGGCCCTCTTAGCGAGTGCTCACAGAAATATTGCTGCGTGGTCCCCACCAGAAAGGAAAGCATGTTTGGCATTTTGAAAATTTGAAATTGCAAATCAATTTTTAACTTATGCTATTTAATAAAAATAATAAAATAGGGACCAGCAGTTGGCATAATGGCTATGTTGCTGGACTCTCATGTAGTTGACCATGGTTTGAGTCCCAGACTCGGTGGCTTAAGCTCACACTGGGCGTGTGTGCGTGCGTGCCCAAGATCCCGAGAGGAGAATGGAGGAGAAGGGATTGCGGCGTGGCCATCCCCCCTGGGGGGTGATTTCTCACTTTCTGTCTCTGTCTCTCTCTGGCTTTCTGGTGAGCACATGCGCCCTATAGCGATAGCGTAAACCCCCCCACCCCGAAAGAAAAAGATGAAATAAACTGGATGTTAGACACTGCTGCGCCTGAACTGCACGCCATCGTCACAGGGTTATACAGTGACGGACTCTCCGCACATTGTCGCGTACTCTGCCACGCTGGTGACCATCTTTCTGCAAATGTACCCCCATCGTTTACTACTAGAATGACGTCCAGTCAGAAGGGGAATTCCTTAGGGCTGTCCTGTGCTATGTCCTGGGCACATGGACTGTGCTGTCTAGCACACAGTAGGTGCTCAACAACCATTTAGGAAGGTTGAAGGCGTTCACAGACTCACATACTTGTTTTTTTTAGAGAGATTTTTGCAGTTAGGGTGCATGCACCCACCAGAGACGGACAGTCAGAAAGTGAGAACTCACCTCCCACAGGGGGTGGCCAAGCCTCAGTCCCTTTTCCTCCATTCTCTTGGGATTTCGGGCATGCACACTCACGTGCCTGGCGTGAGTTTTAAACTTCCAGGTCTGGGACTCAAACTGCGGTTGACTATGTGGGAGTCCGGCGACGTAACCGTTACACCATCTGTTCATTCTGGACGCACATACTTGTCATTTTTAACAACCATGAACACCTTGCTTAGATATGGACGTTGAAGTGGCTCCCAACTCCTAGCTTCGTGGCTATCCTACCAGAAACGCACTGGTACAAATACACCTTCCACTGCGAGAGGCTACTCCGTCAGGCTGTGTGAGAGGCCGCGAGGCCGCGGGGTACAGGGGCGCTCCCCGCTGTGTGCAGCCGTGCCCTCCTCCTAGGGCGAACGTCGACTCAGTCCAACTTCACCCTGTCTTGCGTGTCTAACTGCTAGTGAGGCTGGCTGTCTTTGCACGCTGAGTTTCTTACCTCTAGTCTTTTATAAGCCGACTCCGGCACCTCTGATGGCCTGTTAGGTAAAACTCGGGCTCAGTTCCGTATGTCCAGTTCTCTACGCCGTGAGGCGCTCACCTGCGCTCCCATAGTAGGCCCTACAACGAGTGCTTCAAAACACGGTTGCCACCCCCACATCTGCAGCTCAAACCCTCCAGGGCCTGGGAGCGCAGACCCCTCTGCTGGCTTTTCGAGACCCTCTGCAACATGGCCCCAGAGGGACTTTCAGCTTCTTGTCTCCCCCGTGGCTGAACAGAACGCCCAGTGTCTCAGAGACCAGAGCGCCTGGCCACGAGCAATTTGCTCGTCCTGTCCCCAAAGCTGAGGCGGCACCATGGCGCGTGCCCGGTGGTGCCACTGAAAGGTGGGGGCGGTGTCTGTAATGCTATCTAGAAAATGAGGTGCAAGGCCTTGGGCTGGTCCGGCTCCGGGAAGGGGCCTCCCCGCCCAGTGAGAGGGACTGCGGCGAGGCGGGCAGACCGTGGACCCCGATGGGGTCAGGCAGGCCCGGAAGCCCTGGTGCTGGCCACGCAGCTCCCTCGTGCCCTCAGAGCGCTGGCTTCTCAGGTTTTACCTTCAGCTTTCTCTGCTCAGTTTGGCATGTCTTGTCTGCATCGGCCACAATGCCCAGGAAGCGAGTGACGCAGAGGCCCTGCCTGCTACCTGCCGGCCTGCGTCCTCCCCTGCGTCTGCCTTCCGTGCTGCCGACCGGGGACCTCAGCTGTTCTGAAACCGCCTCTCCTGGGTCAAGCATCTCTGGCTCCCGGGCGACTCCTGACCTACTTTTCCTGAAGCACAGCTGTCCACGATTCTGTACTGTCACCG